ACTTTTTCGACAGTAGGTGGCGCCAATGTCCCATTTAGCGGGATTTAACTTCAACTATTTAACTATGTTACATATAGAGGTGTGGTCCCGATCCTGAAATTCAGATAAACCATCTCCAATAAGTTACTTAACGAATGACACTGCTATCTATTGAAAAACCAGGAGATTTTAGGGCTGGGCTAAGCCCCCAATGTTTCAAAAACCTGTGTCTGTCCAATAAAGCTGAAAAAGCCCCCTTCCCCAAAACCATTTTAAATGGGTTTGCAGCATCACCTAGCGAGCGGTGGGACGTCAACAGATAGTGGGTTAACCTGTTGGAGCTCAGAAAGTTTCGTTTCAGCGGTAACATTAGAGAAAACAATACCAGAATGGCTCCTTTTGTTTCTTCTAGTTTCGTTTCCAAATTTATAACGGAGAAAACGGGACCAAACTTGACTGGAACCAACGTGCGACGTCTTGATTGGGCACTTGCGGTCTTTATATAAAGCAGAATAATGTTCCATCACTACTATCACGGGAACAGATGGGACCATTCACTTTCACGAGCGAGGTACTATAATTTTAATATCATCAGTAAATTGCAGTTCCCACTCTGTGTAATATACTCCTAAAAAGCCACAAATAATTATGTGGCTGTTGTGTAGCTTTTGTGCCATTGCTTTTAGGGCTGGGTGATATGGCCTAAAATCCATATTGCGATATAATTTGAAACATGTGCGACATACATTGCCATATATTATTTTCTTCTGTACATGACTGAACATACTCACATACCAGATACATTGCAGAAGAATAAACACACTTCAAAAAAGTATAGAATGCCATTTTAAGAACATTTATTGTGCAAAACTTTGAAAAAAAAAAAGTTAAATTACAAAACTTCTCAAATAATTTTTCAGATGTAACAGATCTTTTTCCAAATAATGTAACAGAAAATTCTTAGATAACAAATATAAATGAGGATAAATGCGCAAAAATGTTTGAATTAAAAAAATACAAGTAAAATATCAGTAAAACAAAATTCTAAATTGTCCGGAGTTTTTTCTTCACTTGCTTGCGGGCTTAGTCATAACTTTGGGCATTTCAGTTAGGATAAAATGTTTGCGGTCAGGTACCTTGAAACGTGGATCGAGTGTCTTAATCATATTTTTAAAGCCGCTTTTCTCCACTGTAAGAAACGACACCCTGTTCTTACACAAGTACACATAATGGTATTTGTAATATCAATCCACCCCTGATTAGTTTTCTCATACAGAGTGCCTTTGGAAAAGGCTTGGAAAATATCAGTCTGCTGGTGTGTAGGGCTAGGTGTAAAGCCACGTTTTTTCTTTCCACTTAACTGACTGAGCGTTTGTGGAAGGCGTAGTTTTTGGCTTTCCTCAAATTCCAAAACGTGCTTCGTTTTGAGGCGATAAAACAAATTACTTGTATTTCCTCTCTTCGCTATTACCGTCGCCCAGATGATATTTTTCTGCTCAACATCCGACTGCTTAAACCCAAACCAGGTTCACATGGCCGGCATCGCACCAGTCTGCTTTATGAGGACCTCCTCCTCCTCCTCCTCCTCCTCCCCATGCTTCCTACCAAAACAGGTGCAGCTTGATGACACCATCAACACGCGCAATCGCCGCAGGGCGGTATCTCTACCCTCGGCCAAATTCAGATCGTTTCTACCGCCCACCCCTAATTGCTTTGTGTCTAAAAGCAATTTTGAAGTACAAAAAAAAAAAAAAAACTCAAGCTTTCAGTGTTGGGCTTTTTAGGTGATTAATATTTGATTGTTTTTCTGTCTTCCAGGAAGTCGGCTGTTTATCTGGAATAGTACTGAAAAGTTTGCAGAATTAAACCAAATCCCTGACAGAGTTTTGCTTGCTTTATTTTAAATAACAGCTACTGTATGCAACTTTTTAAAAATAATTTTGTTTTGTTTTAGTTTAATAATTGGAAATATTTGCAGATAATTACAAAAAACAAATTTTTAGAATGTGTCACACTACCATGAAGTTTCAAACCCATGAAGGACCAAACCCAGAATTATGAGTCTGAAAGCAAAGAAGAAAGCTCGGTGAGTTCTCCTTATTACCCCACCCTGCCCTCAAGGGAGTGATTGTGTAATAGGTCCATTTTGTTTGTCTGTGTGTTTGTTAGCAGTCTATCAGGTCGAAGTCAAGGTCGGAGCAAATGTGAAAATCTGTGAAAATATTATATTATCCACATTTTTTTTATGGATTGCTAGACCTTGCATGACATAACTACCTAGGTTGGTTAAGGATTTGACCTTGACCTCCATTGTTATGCCCAAGGTCAAAGTTGACCATTTTTCTACATAAATGCCTTACAACATTACAATGATAAAACTTTGCTAAATCACACACTGCATGAATATATCCTAAAATGTTACGTTTTTACAGCTTATAGAAGCCAGATCGAAGGTCAGACATCAGTTTGTTGTTAAAAAAAACAGGCTGATATAAGCAAGCTGTAATAAAATAAAAAAAAATAAAAAAAGATAAAACATCAATATCTTAAAGTCTCGTGTATTTTAATGTTATGTATATGGTTGTTTAACTGCTACCGGTCTTTCATGTTTCTATATCTTTTACCTTCCGGCCTGTGTTTGTCTTTTATATTTGGTGCTGTTGTACAGCACTTTGGTTTGCCCTGTTATTGTTGTTTTTAAAAGTGCTTCATAAATAAAGTGGTACGATATGATATGCAGCACTTCCTGAATTTTTAGTAGTGATGGATATTGATATGATTTTGGCACTAATGTTATTTTTCAGTTTGCTTGTAGGTTAGATTATTTATCAGTTGCCTTACTGGCAACTGGTTAGTTTTCTGTGATTAAAAAAAAAAAGTGCTTTCAGCAATATTGCAACCATTTCATTACCTCCTAAATATAAACTCATTGTAGCTACATTACCATTTTAAGACGATTATTCTGTGATTCAAAAGTGACTGAAAAAAACATGTCAGTATTGATAAAAGGAAATTATGCATGGAGGTTTATGATTCTGATAAGGTAAACAATTACTTCCCAACTGAAATTCAACTGTCAATTTCTAATGTTTCACTGACAGTATTATTGAATTTGCATGGTGAAAGCAATTGATGATGATGATGATGATGATGATGATGAAAGTGAACTATAGTAATCTTCATACACTGTGTGCCTGTTTATAGGGAGGGGCACGGTTACACCCTACACTTCAAATCTTATCTCTGTAATTGAACATGGAATTGTTTTCCCACACAGTGTGAACTACTGCTCAGTGTGTAAATATTCAAACCCCTATATGAAATGTTTTTATCAGTCTTTGAGTGCACAACTTCAATGATCTCCATGAAATAGTATATTTGTAACCAAATCCCTAAAATTATGTACTAATTATATACTCGTATGCTAATATAATATTATCTACACCTATAATAAATGTATCAGGATGACTCACTTTGGGTTACTTTTACATCAAACTATATGTTCTTTAGTTTCTTACCATTAATTTTGCTTTTTTTTTTTTTTTTTTAGGACTTCTTTTGGGGCCACAGCCCCGCCTTTCATTGATTACCTGAAAGATATTCTACGTCGATATCCAGATGGTGGACAAATTTTGAAGGTTGGTATAATGTTCTGCCAAAAGCCCATCATATCAGCCACTTCACAAAATACTTGATAGGGTTGCAGAAATATTTGTTATTCTTTAGAAATTTGCGGGAACTAGGCCCTTGGTCCTGACCTCAGTGAATGCTTCACAAGTACATTCATGAGTTAAAAACATCAAAATGAGGATAGCAAAATATGCTCAGCTCAAGGCCTCATGATGGACCTCAGTGAGTAATGTTATAATGTTCATGGTTTTAACTCATTAATTCATAAACTAATTTTGGTCAGTTTTAAAAAGAAGTGATGATATTTCATAATGAAAGGATCAAATATCAATCAATCAATCAATCAATCAATCAATCAATCAATCAAGCCTTTTATTCGGTCGTTCGTCACCAGTCTCGGTCGTTGTGTCCTCTGTCAGTGCACCCCAGGGTGGCTGTGGCTACAATGTAGCTTGCCATCACCAGTGTGTGAATGGCTGGATGACTGGTTGTGTAAAGCGCTTTGGGGTCCTTAGGGACTAGTAAAGCGCTATACAAATACAGGCCATTTACCATTTATTTGTCACATGCAGTGTTTACACCTGCAGTGAAATTGGACCCCCCCCCCCCGATCATACATATATAGCAAAGATATAACATGGACATAACATTTGGAAAAAACAATGAAATGTACAATACAATGGGCAAGTTGAAGAGGGGAAAAAGAGACCTCTACTCATACTGGGTTCCTTATGGGAGGTCAGCATGAGAACAGAAAACAAAATATGTAGTTTACAGTGACAAAAACACTTTGTATAACATTCATATTTGAAGCTCTGTCTTCTGTTGAGGCTACAAATTTGTGTTGTTATGTGAGCACAAGTGACATGCTTTTTTTTTTATTGTTTCAATTTGTTCATTTTGACAGCAAATTTTGATTTGATTTTTGAATTTCATCTTTGTCATAGTCATTTGACTAAAGCCTCATTTAGGTTGTGATAATTTAGACACCTAAACTCTTTTAGTTTTAGTTAGAACAAATAAATCTAAAGTTGATTAAGTAGAGTAAAACAAAACAGTACATAGGTTTGTTGTGTTTTCACTTCTAAAAGTTACTCTGCACGCTTTACAAAGCACCTTATTTTCCTTGCAATCAAGTATAAAATGTGTCCATATGTCTGCTTATCTCTTGCTCCCAAGTGTTGACATTTTACTTTACTTCTGATTGGATCACTTGAAAACTCCTCCCACCTTTCCACACAACTTAATTAGTTCTAATATGATCTGATTGGTTCTGATCTCATCTCTCCAGAAAATTTTCATCTTATTTTTATTTGTTGACAAAAATATCAGTACATTTCATCATAGGTTTTATCCTCATGTATTAGTTTTTATTTAGACAACATCTTGTTCTCATCAGACAAAAAAGCTTGTTGATAAAAAGAAAACGTGTCAAAAATGATTTGTTAGTGAAATTAACACTGGTGTCCAGATAAATACATTTTATTTAAATAGAAAATTATGGCAGACCCGAAATTTGCATCAAGGAGCTTCATAATATGTATTGCAAGCAACATTCCTTAGATACTTGACTTGGTGGGCTAAATGGAAACTTAGATGTTGACTGTAAATTTAAACGTAATACTAGTTCATTCGGGTGTTTCAGATTTTTTTTTTTTGCTATTTGCAATTTTTGAGTACCCAGTAGAATGATGCTCTTAAGTATTTGACCACACTGAGCTGACATTTTATCAGATATCCTTCATATGTCACTCAGGTAGGTGAAATATGAAAAAATATAATGCAGTAGAGTTCAACAATAAAATATATGTAGCCTTCATTATTACCAGTTAGTTAAATCAATACACATAATAAACGTGTGACAAAGCGTAAATCACTTTTGGTTGTCATTGTTGGAAAATAAAGAATAAGAGATAAATAAAAGGTTAATGAAATATGTGCAACTGTACACAGCAGATAATTATTAACAACAGAAACTGAAACTCCTTTCACTGTATTTTAACATTAATGTGGGAAACCTAAATTTCTAATAGAAACAGGGCTAGATCCCATTTAGATGAGCCACTCTCAGTGTTTGGTATGCTGATTCACTGGAGAGATGGGACACTTCTTGGAACAAAGTCATCAATCATATCACTTTTATGTTATTTTTATTTGTCAATCAGGAATTGATTCAAAATGCAGATGATGCTGGAGCAACAGAAGTGGTTTTCATTCATGATGAGCGGAGCTATGGGACAGAGAGCCTTTGGACGGAAGAATTGGGAAAATACCAAGGTATTCACTGAAAACTGAAGTTTTCAAACAGTCTTTTTTTTGTTTTGTTTTTTCATTTAAAAAAGATGAATATAGAAAATATAAATTAATTGACAGTTTTAGCTTCACAGGAAAAATAAAAAATAAAATTCAGTTGTCTTTTTAAAATTTTTGTAGCCCTGGTTCTGTCCAGGTACTACTTTTATGTCCTATAATAGAACAGTGGTCAGTGGTAATGTTTTCTCTGTGCCAGTGTGGATTCCCTCAGGAAACCCAAACTGGCACAGAAAAAACAATGTAAGCTCCACACAGAAGGGCCCCAGAAGGGCTCCACACTGTTTTCCTCCAACAGTCCAAAGACATACTTATCGGTTAAATGGCAACTCTAAACTGGCCATAGGTGTGACAATGAGGTTGAATGGTTATGCAACAGACTGCCAACCTGTGTAGAGATGGATCCTTTTTAATGCCCCTTTGCAGTCAGGATAGGCTTCATTTTGTTTCATTTATAATTTTTCCAAGTCCTCAGCTTTTCAGCTGACTTGCTCCTGGCACTCCTCTCTCGTCTGGACCCAGCTAGCTATTGAAATAGCCCAACCAATTGCCAGATCAGTCCCAGCTCTGCCAGCCTCCTGGCACTGCCCCCTAAACACACAGACCACAGCTCCGAAAACAGTCTTCTACAGAGAATGTATCAAGTAATGCAGAGATACCTTAAACATATGCCATGAGCATGTTGTGTTTTTGCAAAGGTCCTGCTCTCTATGCCTACAACAATGCCACATTCACTGATGAAGACTGGCAAGGAATTCAGATGGCTGGAAGGAGTGTGAAGCGTGATGACCCAAACAAAGTCGGGAGGTTTGGAATCGGCTTCAACTCTGTTTACCACACAACAGGTGAAACTATTTACCATTTATCTATAATTGACACACATGGCAAGGAAACATTAACAGTTAACATTAACACATCTTTCTCCATAGATGTGCCAAGTATATTGAGTTCAGAGCATCTTGGCATGATGGATCCCCAAGAAAAAATATTTGGAGAGAGAAGTGGAGGGTTTTGGTGGTCTTTGGATGATGCTGAAGACCAAGAAGTTCTGCTGAATATGCATGATCAGTTCCAACCATTTAGAGATATAGTCTCACTTGTATGTGAACATGGATGGTCAAAAGTTGTCATGGAGGATCAGCACTTCAGTGGGACAATTTTTAGATTTCCTTTACGCAATGAAGCATCAGAAATTTCTGATAATCTGTATGACTCAGATAAAGTGGTTGAGCTTTTTGATAGCTTCATTGCAGATGCAGATTTGAGCCTCCTCTTCTTGAAAAATGTCACCTCCGTGTCCTTGTTACATATTAGTGAAGATGGAGCTGTTAACACCAGACTTGAAGTGAAATCCTCAGTCCCCACAGATGGTGTTTTGGAGCCAGAAGAGGAGTCAGTCATTGAGGGTCTAACAAGGTTCAAAGTTATAACTGTGAGTTCAAAAGACCAAAAAGAGACAAAGTGGCTTCTGACAACATGTACCATGAAAGAGGGCGTTGTAGAAGATCTTGATTTGCTTACAAAGAAGTTGAGCTTTTTACCTCAAGTTGACCTGGCATTCCCCTGTGGTGAGAAGAGAGACTGTAGCCAGAGCAGACTGAGCTGCTTTCTCCCCCTTCCAAACAATGAATCCAATAAGACAGGACTCCCAGTTTATGTCAATGCATGCTTTGGCCTCACAGACAATAGAAGACACATCAAATGGCAAGAGGAAGACCAGAGACATGATGAACATGCTTTGTGGAATGAAATGCTGATGAAGAAGGTGTTTCCACAAGCATACATCAAGATCATTCAAGATGCCATTAAACTTGCCCAAAACTCTATCCTCCCTGTTTCCTCTGTGTACAATCTGTGGCCAGATCTCACTCAGATACAACACAAAGAAAAATGGCATGCTCTCACTCTGGATGTTTTTCATCACTTATTCAGACAGAACGTGGCCATCCTCTCTCTTGCTAAAGATGAAAGACAGTTTATCTCTCCATCAGAAGCTGTTTTCCCCTGCAATGGCCCAACAAGCACCAACATATTGTCTGCCATTAAAAGGGCTTTAGTGTCATGTGGAGAAAATCTTGTCACTTTATCAGCTAGTGTTGCGAGGGCTATAAATGAGGCCTACCCAAACCCTGCTACCCTAAAACATGTGACTCCAGCATTCCTCAGGGCCATTCTCCACAGGACCGGTGTGGATAACATCACTAAAGATGACAAACTCAGTCTTTTGGAGTACATTTTAGGTGATGAACAATACAAAGAACTTGAGGGTCTTCACCTCCTTCCACTCAGTGATGGCTCTTTCAGATATTTCACATACAAAGAGGAAGACACTGCTTTGATTGACAGCCATGAATTTCCAAGGTAGGGTTTCCATAAATGTATCAATATTTAAAATAAATGTTACATAAAGTATAACTGAAGTTGTCATTTTTAAAAAATTTTGAGTGGCAAGTTTTTCCATTGTTGTTACATTTAAGGCAAAACTAGCACTTATTGTTACGTCTGATAAAATCAATAAAGCATACATAAGCTGAATAGTGTGACATAGTGCCACATTTTAATTGCAGCAGAAATTTTGGTAATTAGACATTCAAAAAGACCTGATTTACTGTTCGACTATGTTCACCAAAAAAGGTGGACAGATCCACTGGGCTTATAAGATTTCGAAGAATATTCATATATTGAATGAAATTGTAAACCCAAGTCATGACTCGTGAGCAGAGATGGGCAGTAAAATGTTACAAGTAACGCATTACTGTAATCTGATTACTTTTTCAAGTAACAAGTAATTTAAGGATTACTATTGCAAAAAAAGTAATTCGTTACTTTCCCGTAAACACCCTGCATTACTGCATTACTAAACCGTCGTAATTTTGTTTGCGAGAGTGTCTCATGACAATGATGTAAGCATGTGCGATGTCCGTGGCAGCAACAGACGTGCCTAGATCAACAATGAATAGTATGGAATGCAGGAGAGAGAACGACCATGTAGAGTTTAAAACTTGGAAGTACTGACATTAATTTTGATTCTGTAAAAAATGACAAAAACATTAGCGTCCGCTGTGCACTCTGCGTGGGAAGAAAAGTTCTTTCTACAGTGAAAAATTAAACTGGGCAAGCGCCTACCAAGCTGCCATGGGAATGTGAAATTCACAGAAAAATTGAATTAACAAAATTATCTTTTGTGCAGACTCTTGTTGCCCTTCTGTAAGCACCTCTTCATCCCAAATGATCTGACTCCAACCTGCAGTGCCCATCTGAAAAAACTGGCCAGAAGAAGTAGGTCAAAGTAGTATGCAGAGACATGAAAGTCATGTGTACCTACCATACACACATTTTTAAACAGCACAGCTTTTAAAATCTCTCATTATTTTTATTATCTGTTCTTTAGATTTCTTCAAGATCATCAATGTTGATGCATCCCGTGTAGCTGAATATACAAGAAGGTATTTGCCACCAGACTGGAAGCAGACAGGGAAGAACGTTGTTGCATGGGACAACAACAACAGTCAGCATCCACCTTCAGACTGGTTTCAAGAATTCTGGAGGTTTCTCAACAATCATTTTAATGAGTTAAGTCCTTTCACTGACATACCTCTAATACCAGTTAGTCCTCTGTCTGGCAGTCAGACTGTATCAGTAGCAAAACTACAGCAG